ACTGTTTGTCGGCGCCCTCCAGAAAGCGCCCAAGAAAGGCCGCTCCAGTTACAGAGACCCAACAAACGAGAATGCGGGTTGAAGGAGCCCACGGCACGGTTCCGGGAGGTGCCGTGGACAAGGACTGCACGAAAAGAGCAACTGTCCGGCATTCAAGTCAAAATGTCGTTCCTGTGGCAAGAGAAGCCACTGGCAAAAGATGTGCTACAAGAAAACTCAACGGGAAGTCACCACAGAACAGAAGAAACCTTCGCCTGAAAGATGGTCACTGGGTGCACTCACAGCGGGCAGCAATGCATTAGCATGGAGGAAAGAGCTCAGAGTAAAAGGAAAACCAATCACTTTCAAGATTGATACAGGCGCAGATGTAAATGCAGTAACGAAGGGAGCCATGAGGGATGTGAGTGCAGTAAGACCTACAGCAGTGAAACTGTACGGTGCCAGTGGACAGCCACTGAATGTGTTAGGAAAAGTTCAAGCCAACTTCAGCTGTGTGAAGAACTCCTTGCGAGAGGAGATGTACGTTATCAAAGAACTAGACCTCTGCTAGGTCGTCAGGCAAGCACGTATCTGAAGATTGTACAGCGCTGCAAGCGGTCACAGTAGACCCAGACGCAAAGTAAAAAGAAAAAGTTCCGGAAATGCTCAACAGACTCGGGAAAATGGAAGGTGACTACACAATCAAACTTGAGGCAGGTGAAAATCCAGTGTCAGTAAACACGTCACACAAAGTGCTCTTGGCGCAGTTTGACAAGGTCAGGCCCAGATAATGGGGTTGGAGAAAGACCGCATTATTAAGAAAGTGGTTGAGCCAACCCCCATGTGCTCGGTTATGATGGTGATCCCCAAATCAAGTGGGGACGTCAGGATTTGTGTTAACCTGACAAACCTGAACAAGTCCATCGAAAGGGAGAAGCTTGTCCTTCCATCGGTAAAAGAAACTTTGAGCCGCCTTGCTGGAGCAAGGGTTTTTTCAAAGCTGGACGCCAAAGCAGGATTTTTTTTAAAACTGAAATTGGCTGAGGAGTTGTAGCTGCTTACAACTTTCATAGCCCCCTTTGGGAGGTTTTGTTTCCAAGGTCTTCACTTCGGCATCCCCCCAGCGCCCGAGCACTTTCAAAGACGTATGAATCAGATTCTTGAGGCAATACATGGAGTGTTATGTCACATGGATGATACTCTGATCACGGGAACAGATCTTAAAGAGCACGATAAGAGGCTGGAGGAGGTTCTTGCGAGACTGAATGCTACGGGAATGACACTTAACAGTAAGTGTGACTTCACAAAAACGACTGTGAAGTTCTTGGGACGCATCCTGATTGCGGAAGGGATCTAGCCAGACCCTGCAAGGGTGAGAGCAATCATGAACTTCCGGGCACTGGTCACCGTTAATGAGGTTCGCCAAGTTATCGGCATGGCTAATTACGTCGATGGTTTATACCCAACTTGTCGGAGAAGCTAAAGCCCATCAAAGATCTCCTCAGAAAAGACCCGGAATGGAACTGGGACGCCCAGCAGCAACGAGCTTTCGAACAAGTCAAGCAAGACTTAACGGAAACTACAACGCTGACGCTGTATGATCCCAAACAGCGGCTCATAGTGTCGGCAGACGCCTCGTCGTATGGACTAGGCGCCGTGCTGCAACAAAAGTATAGACAAGGACAGGTGCGCCCTGTTGTGTTTTGTATCAAAACGAATAAACGAGGCGGAAGGAAGGTATGCACAAATAGAAAATGAGGCTTATGCAGTTACCTGGAAATTCAAATGCTTTGAAAAGTTCCTGATAGGAACCAAGTTCCACGTGCAAACGAACCGCCGACCCCTGGTTGAATTATTGTGTGACCGAGAGTTGAATACCATTCCTGCAAGAATTCAGATATTCAAGTTGAGCCTTATGCGTTTCAGCTACTACACATAACACGTACCCTGGAAGTTTCAGCTACTCCATAGGACACGTACCCGGCAAAAACTTGTGGACGGCAGATGCGCTCTTGAGATCCCCAGTGGAACTCCCAGAGAAGGTGGAAGAGGAGCTATAGAGTTGTATGTCCAGCTAGTGACAAGCTTCTTGCCAGCGACTGGTCACTGTTTAGACGAAGTACGCATAGCTCAGAGTCAAGATCCCGCGCGTTGCAAGTTAAAAGAGTACTGTGCAAAGGGTTGGCCCAACAAGACGTGTCTCCCATCAGAAATCGTTCCTTACTTCAGAAACAGGGACAAACTCATGGTACAGAGCAACCTCCTAGTAAAAGACAACCGGCTCTAATAAACTCTATGAGAATTAACTGCTGCGCTAGTTTGTAATGCATTGTAGAGGACAAGAGCGCACAAGACATGGACAAGTAGAAGAGCATTACAGGACAGGACAAAGCGCTTTGTCCTGTCCGGCTCATAATCCCTAAGTCATTGAGGAAGAAAGTGCTGCGCCAGTTACGTGCAGGGCACCAAGGAGTATTCAAGTGCCGAGAACGAGTAAAAATGTCAGTATGGTGGCCAGGACTCAGTGCTCGTTTGCAAGAGGTGGTTGAAAATTTCACAAGCTGCGTCCAAGAGTGCATCCCAAAAGTGGAACCTATATTAGCATCAGAGCTCCCACACTATCCATGGAGATGTGTTGCAGCTTTCCTGTTTGGAATGAACGGCAAGCACTACCTTGAAGTAGCAGATTACAACTCCATGTTTATAGCAGTGTGTCTGCTGGCGCAAACGACATGAGAGTGGTTGTCGCACACCTAATATCTGTGTTTTCCCGCCATGGAATACCTGAGGTGTTCTAGTCCGACAATGGACCGCAGTTTGTGTCTGAGAATTTTAAAGAATTCACAAGTAAATTCCAAATTCGCCACATAATATGAGCAGCCCAAACAATTCTAAAAGTAACAGTGAAGCAGAACGCATGGTAAAAGTTGACAAAGACATCCTAAAGAATGCCGAAGACCCCGACTTCGCATTTTTGATCTACAAAAATGCACCAGGCCCCTGCGCGTTCAGTCTAACTCAACTACTCATGGGACGGCAACTACGTACAACATAGCCTATGTTGTCATCCCACCTGATTCGGAGAATGCCAAACCATGCGGGTATCCGAAGGAAGGATAAAGAAAAGAAACGGAAGCAGGGCTAAGGTTTTGACCAACGGCGTGCAGTAAGCTGCTACAGAAAACCGCCCATCGGTGGTTCTGTTTGGGTCAGGGACCCTGGCACGCAGGGGCAGATTGTGAGGAAAACGACCGGAATACCTACCATTTAGTCCCATCAGAAAAACCAAGAGAGGGCAAAACACCGACATCCGAACAAGAGCCCGGTGTAAAAGAGAATGCTCAGACGCCGTGCATCAACGGCGCTGAACCGACATATGAACAAGTGCTCAATCCAGAACGAGATTCAGTTGTGGCTCTCGTTCCAGAGGATTCGGACATCGACTCAAACACAAAGAAAGAGGAGCCCTACAAATGAACTAGACCTAGATGACGAATCATTGAACCCCAGGGATTCACGACCTAGTTCCACCTCCTCTTTTGGAGCAAGGGGGATGAGGTGATATTCACGTTTTGATGTGTTTCAATAAAACCCCTAGAGGGGGCAGCCAGTGTGGCGCGCGAGCGTGACTGAGCTCGCTGGTGTTGTCCGGTCTCTTTCGTCTTCCTACTTGCGGTCAAACAGAATTATAACGATAATCGCAACAGGCGGCTCTGCCAATGACAAGGTTGGATATTCCTTTAGATATAAACAAACCTGTGTTTTTGCAATGACTGTGGTGAAACATCTTGTTCAGTGTCACAACACAGACAGTTTGTTTTGAAGTCTGAATTTATCTCCAGCCTTGTCATTCGCCGAGCTGTCTTCGTTGATTGCATGGATTCGCTTTTCCAACTACAGTACGGGAAAATTGTGCTCCTGCAAACGTATCAATAATATAGATCCTCGTGTAAATATCGTTGTTAAACATAACACTGTTCGTTAATGAATGATAATAACTTTGAAGATAAAGTAAGTAGGCAGGCGAGCTGGTCGTGGGCAGTTCCGGAAGACGTGTGGGAGAGATGCTATATAAACGACTGTTCAAATAAAATTTAGTAGCTGCGTTTGAGACGTTTTGTGTGTTGTCCCCTTCTTCGTCCGTCGTCTCCGGTTTTCGAAAATGTATAATAACTTTCTTTTTTTTTTTGCTTTTTTGCGTGTGCAGTGTGTATTGGAAGGTATCCCAGATTTGGATCCCGGATCGCAGGTGTACATTATCCTGCAGATATTGGAAGTGGCTCTTGTGAGAATTAAACTTTTATGTAAGGATGAATTCACTCTGATCACGCTCCGTTTGAAATAGAGTTAAATAATGAGCGCACCATTCGCTCGGGCATGCCTGTGGGGTCCATCGCAGCAGAGATGACGCTCAAATATTTTAAATTGCCCATAGTATCAGGTGAATTTATGGAGCATATTACCTTAACTAATAACAACGTGATATAATACAGCAATGCGGTGCTCATAATGGTTGTGGGCAGACGCTAGTCCTGCCTGACACTATGATCCGTCGAGATATTTTCAGATTTTTATTCGATATATATAAAGTGACACGTAGCTAAATGGGCATGGCGAGAAACGCCATATGCGGTAATTGGACACCAAAAGCTACTCTAATGTGCAGTTGCAAATTTTATTAACAAAAGATTGAATGTAAGAAGGCGTATTTCATCGGGAGTTAAACAATTTTGCACTCTAATACACTACATCGTTCGGGGTGCAATTCTAAAAGAATAACTCGTAAGCAGTAGTAATGGCTTATTAACACTGGGTAAGCTACGCCACTGATTACGAATTCCCTTCCGCGATATAATGTCACGGAAATTCGATTTCTTTGATTAACGAACTGTAGTGTTAGTACGGCATTATTATATCTCAACGCACTATTTATCAAAAGCTAAGCACTCAGAGCAATTCAATCGATATTTCAAATCTTGTGGATGCTCCTCACTTTTGCAGCGGTTTTGCTGACACCCATCATGAACATCTGCAACTCGGTTAACCTTAACTGTTCTCTGCTCAACCTGAACCCAACTATAATCTGCGGAGACCTTTTGGTCATCAACCTTGCCAGCGTACTCAACTTGGGTGAGGTAGGTAAAGTTACGCCGTCTTTATGACAGGCCCTTTTCAAAACCCGGTCAAGCAACACTGGCGGTCTCCATTTTCTGGGAAAGATGTGTGTGACTGGATACGCGTTCTAGCCGAGCGCTGAGACGGCCCAATATATGCTCAGAGAACGTTTAATCAATGGCGGACTCCGATAATGGGCCCTTTCCGAAATTGCGGAATGATGCATAGATTATGCGCAGCCGCCATCAGTTGGTGTCATCGCTTCCGGCGCCTGAAGCCCATGATTGGTTCCGAGTTCGCGCCCAGCACTGACGCAGCACTCGTGTGTGGATTGCATTTCGATCCGAGAACTCTACGATACTGCCGAAGCGCTCGTGTCCAACGCGTGCTCACAGTGCATGACCCACTAATGGCGGCCGCACATAATCTATGCATCATTTCCAAATTTCCAAAAGGGTCTATTGGTGCCGTAGGTACTGGATGTCGCGCACTTTTGAACGTCTAGAAGGGCGTGCTGTAGGTCGGTCCATGAAGTTCGACATCCACCGCTCACCAAAGGTAACCCTGCTGGGGGCTTTAGACTCGTGAATTACAAAGTTGAAACTACGTTCGCGGAGTTGGCCAGTTGGTCGTCGGTGACAAAAAAGCGGCGTCATCGTCACGAGAGTCCAGCAGGCACGCCCGGTAAACATCGACCACAAACTTTGTGCTTGGCGAGTCTAGTGCCCCGGCAGTCGGAACATAGTCAGCTGCAACTTCACACGCAAACGCTTCGGCGTTGGGGATGCTGCGTTCTGTGTAAAGGCTGGTTCACACGTTTGGGTCGATTACGTTGCGCTGCGTTGCGTCGTGCTTCGCACAGCGCCTCCCCATTGGCTCGTCGTAAGTGTCGATGCATACCAACAGCTCGACGCAAGTAGTCTTAACCAGACGCAAATGGTTCCAGTCGCACTTGAACGCAACTGTGTGAGCGAGCCTTAAGCTTCCAACATCGTAGCACACTCGACATTTCTCTACGTTTACCGCAAAGCTGTCTCGGACTCGCCGCTCGATTTCGTCGCGACAGCGAATCTACGAGACTATATAAGCGCGGAGGTTCCCTATGACCCCCACTTCCTTCGACTTATTTTTCAACCGCCCTCTCTCCAATGTTTGTAGAAAATGGATCATACTCCGTTCCACTTTAAGTAATTCCGACCGCAGCTTAACCTCAAATCCGATGAAGCAACTCGAGCAAGGAGCCACAAAATGCACTGTCACAGCGCTCATTGCCTTCTTACGTTTGACCATCACCGAATAAACCAATGAAACACGGTGAATGTGCCCAAATGCTCTTTCTTCTATAGGTGCGTGATTGGTTTAGCCATTGGTACTAAACCCGTAAATACAAGGGGCAATGTGACGATGCACTTTCGTCGCTGCTTGATTGACTGAATCGGATTGTGGCGTCTTCTGCGGTAGGACTATAAACTGAAGTAATATGTAGAGGGAACACTTTCAAACGAGTCATGCGTAATAATTAATAATTATCAGTATTATTCATTTTGATTATTACCGAGATTACAGGGCAGATAAGCAGGCACCAGAGGGTGTACCCTGAAGGTGTGCATTCGCACCCTCTTTAGTGTTGTCCAATGTCCGGGGACACGGATCACTATAGTCACTGGGGGGTGATTTTTTAGAGTCAGGCTTCTCGCTTCATGACTTGTTTTTCGGCGGTCGTGTTGGATATTTCTGCAGCCTTATTGCCTGCGGTGCGGCAATAATGTGCTCAAGACCAGCCTCACCCTGCAGTTCTTAAATTAGCGGTAACTATACGCTCTCAAAAAAAAGCAGCCGCGAGTTTTTGTTTTTGCAGAACTTGGAGACGGCGGACCACGGCGAACTCTAGAAGCATTCCAGCGAATGACAAAACTCAAAATACAATTAATATTAATAAAAAGAAAACATTAAAGACGTTTACAAGTCTTTGTAATGCAGAGTTGGACCGGAGCTCTTGAGGAGGAGGAGCGGAGGGCAAAAAGTGGAGGGTATGCCCTTCCTCCCCCTCAGCGCCCTCCCATGCTCCTCTCCTGCTCCCCTCCCGTTTAGTGGAAAGTTTTCCCTAAATTTCCCGCCAAAGTTAGCAAAAATTTCCCGCTAAATTTAGCAGGAAACGTTTCCCGCTAAATTTAGCGGGAAACGTTTCCCGCTAAATGTAGCGGTAACATTTCCCCGCTTAATTTAGCCTAAAAAATACCCGGCTAAATTAGGCGGAAAATTATTTTCCGCTAAATTTAGTGGGAAACGGATGTCACGTGATCTATGCACCAATTCTGTTAACCTGCTACATTTAGTAGGAAAATTCACGTCTTGTGACCCAGGTACAAATCCAGTTACCTCGCTAAAGTTAGCGGGAGAGATCGAACAAGATAGAACGAAATCTTTCTTAGGCACCCGAAAACTAAGGCAGATCCAAAAACCAGCAGAAAGCACCTAGGAATGCCGCCTGAGTGTTTATATTGAGGCGCTTATACGCAAAACAATTTACAAGAACGTGAGAAAAACCAAGAAATGAGCTGAAACATTGTCGTCTCTTTCAAGAAAGTAGAACTCTAACTCAAAACGTTAAAAAAAAAAAAAAAACTTATTGCAGGCTTATAAAAGAACACGTAAATGATAGCACAGTAGCAGTCGATCTGTAAAAGCATAAGTGTATCAGGCAGAATTGGAGGAATGGGAAACATTTACTCTATAACGATATCTTGTTATTACAGTGCGAGGGAAACGCCACCCAAATATGTCAAGCTGGTGAAATAGTTACGGTAAGTCCACGAATAAAACTTTAATTATTGACTTCTTACTGGACACAACTGCGCGTCGTATACTCATTTTTGTTGATATTACCATTCAGAATGATACGTTCGAGGATCTGTCTGGATTCTTGACGGTAAGTGTATTGGTTTACGTATTCACATGAGCATGATTTACAACAAAACATCCATAGCGCGTAATTTTGAAAACGCCTGTTCCATGCGTCCATCTTGATAAAACATAGGTGCGCTTTAAAATAGTTTTTTTTAAAGTGTAATCTAACACTGAAAAGTGAGCAATTAATAAACACGAATAAAACTAGCCGCACAGGAAAAAAGAATTTTCGTACGACGTTGGCATGTTTAACCTAACGTTCTGTATTAACCTAACCATATCGAAGTCAGTCTAAAAAAAAAATTAACGTAGAAAACAGATCTATAATAATATTATAAATTAGACACAGGTGTTATGCTTGCGAAGGTGCAGCACCACTGGAGCGTGAATGCGTTTGGTAGAAAATCGAAACATCAAAAAGTGTCCAAATTGTCATCTCTTTTAGCACCGTAATATAATGCTTATGCCTTATACTTTATAGTGCGCATGCATTTAATGATCTTAGATTATTACCAGACAGTGCCTAATTAAATCAGACATTAGGTTTAGTCATTAAAGAGTTAATGTCTGAAACATAATTAACAACCAAAATATACCCAACACCGTTCATACTTCTTTAAATGAGCCCTTGGTCGAAAACCGGTACATCAACTTTATTTCTGCTTAAGCTTGAACGATTATTTTTCTATTTTTTTATTTATCATTATTATTTTTGAGAAAAAAAAAAGACATTAAGTTGAAATCCGACACTTGTAGTTAGTGACGAATTATACATGTGTGTGAAGAACTTTTTTTTTTTTTGCATATTTTTTTACAAATTTGTTTTGAGTTAGTATTCGGCCGTCGGCTCCAGCTCATCACTTTTTTTTTTCTCAGTGTATGCTGGGACACCTCACGACTGAAGATCTGAGAACAGTCTTAAAAGGCACCATCTGCAGCATATTAAACATTCTGGCGAAGGTACTCGGAGGGCAGGTAATCTCAGGACTGATTGTTGCAACTGTCGGCGGAATTTTTGGAGTCAGCTGCAGGTAAGTTCCCCGACGTGCTCCGAATCGTAATCTTTAGATTAAACAATATTTAGGGCGAATCCAACCTTTCTATCAGCTCAGTTTAAGTGCCCCTTTTGATTGCATTCTGCATTCTATAGTCACAGCTTAAGGCCCGTTCACATGTTTGCTTAGGACCGAGTTCTTGTGATCTCTTACGATGGGACAAACTTGCGCGCTGACGCCATTTCTGAGGTGGCCCTGGAGTAAAATTTCTCTAGAACTAAGGTTTGGAGGTATTCGCGTGATCAAATGTACATGGAGACCATCAAACAAGCTTACAGTGTTGTTGTTGTTGTTGTTTTTTTCACCGAAAAAATAAAGACTGTTTCACGGAACGTTTCTTTCTCCTCGGAAATGTAGCGATAGAGGTCCGAACCGTATGCAAAAGATTTGGCCCTAACCATTATCCTATTCAAAATATGTTAGTGGTTTTCTGCGATTTTCAATGCGAAAATGGTTCCCATTTTCGCCTGTTTTCGATAACTGGCGCCGTATAATAGGGTGCCTAGAGTGGCAACAAATGACGTCACAGAAACCGGAGTGTCATGCTATCGGATGTCGCGATCCTAGCGGTTGGTCGTGGAAACGCTGGCGAAAAGCACGAGCGAACGCGAGTGTCACTGTTGTCGCGGCGCCCCAACATCTGGCCGCCGAAGCTTCCGTGAACTGCCACACTCGAGAGCGACCTGGGGCAGAACAGGCGTCTGCCACATACACCTTCACTGCTGGGACACCGCCAGGATCGCGACTGGTGACGGCATGACACTCCTATGACGTCCTCAGGCGGAAATCGAGGGACTACTTCTTTAAGCGCAGTAAACACACCAGTCGGAGACGCGTTCCAGGAACCATGATATAGCAACATGTAATTGAGAGCTCTGTCGGCCGCCATTTTTCCATTGAAATGTTTAAAATATCACTGATAAATTTTGAATAGGACAACGGTTAGTGCTTAAGCTTTGGAATCTTGTTCGTACCACTAGCGCTACATTTCGTTGGATAAGGAGCGTTCCGCGACGCATAGATTAATGTTGCTGTGAAAAACCCTATGACTATTTTTGGGTACATTGTCAAAAGCTTTTCAAAGAAGGAATGATGAGCGAAAAAATGGGAAATATATGGAACTGCTAAGTGTTCTGCAGCTACCCGATAGACGGCAGCAGCGTGTTCTCTCGTCATAACAGATTTGGATAGGTTTTAAGGCACGCGGCCTTAAGCAGTCGAAGGTGTCTGAACCAGCCTTTAGACGATGAAGGAGAAATGCACCGACGGACGGATGGACGTACAGACAAATTTGCGAATTGGGGCTATGCTTTAATAATACAATCGTAAGGTCAGACCAATAACTTGTGTGTGACGTACGTTTGTGGCGCATTAGCATCCCATAGTTCCTGCTCCAATTAAGTTCTCCTACAACGTCACATCCGCTCTCTCAGATTCAAATAGAAGTCTTGAAGTGTAGGCTTCGGTATTATTGAAGAATTTGTGGCGTCCTGTAGTTGGTCCTTGTCCAAATGCTTGCATTTTTGTTTCAGCGTGAACTAGGGCGGATGCATGGAGCGAGCACAGGGAGATCCTACATGGCCATCGACTTCAGGCTTTGCTCTGTGCGAAGAAAGTCTGATATTTTGACCTCCAGCGTTTCAGCTCTGGCTGTGAATTTGCACCGTTCCTTTTATATGCTTACGTTCATGCACTGCACGGGGAAGAAGCGCTACATCATAGAATCTTCGTCCTTTGGTTTTCGAGACTGTATAAACTTAAATTACTTTTCAAGCACATCACCGCTACTGCTTTGAATGATTTGGATGCATAGTGTCACTATGGTGTTTTTCTAAAGCAAGAAATGCATTTTAACGCAACCCCGAATCCCGGAATTTCGTCCGTCCTTCCATCTGTCTGTCCGTCCGTCCGTTCAATTTCTGCTAAATTTAGCGGAGAAAGTGGCGTCATGTGACGTCAGCTGACGTCACGTAACCTACATACCTTGAGGAATTGACGGCACCTGACCTGTGGGTCCAACTCACTTTCCCCATTAAACTTATCCGGAAAATGTACGTCTTATGCCACACAGCAATTCACTTTCCCCTTTAATCTTAGCGGTAAATATTAACGTCACATGACCTATGCACCAATTCAGTTACCAGCTAAAAATAGCGGAAAAATGAACGTCTTGCGACCTAGACACCTATCCAGCTCCAAATTTAGCGTGGAAAATCCCCGTCACGTGACCTGACTTTACATGACCCATAGAACCATTGTTTCCCCGCTAAATTTAGAAGGAAAATATTCGTCACGTGAGATACCAATTTTCTCACCAATTCGCACACCAATCCCCTGTAAGGCATTTCATAAATTATAGGACATTAAAGGGATACCACAACGAAATTTCGGCGCTCATTTTTTGTGTATATGTGTTCAAAGGAGCAGTATCACATCGAACATACCAATATCTGGTTAAAAAAGTCTCGAAAAGGAATTTTAAAACGATTAGCAAAGAGCACCTGGTGGATGTCGCTAACGTCTCGTTTGTAATGCCCGTCTAGGATCCTTGACAGGCACGGATGATAACCATCTCGCCTAGAACTATGCATACTTTGAACCTGACGTCATCCCGACAACTCTACAGAGAGCACAAGAGAAGAGGGGAGGGAAGAACTCCCCTTTCACAGGGACTCTCTTGTGTGTCGTATTCATCCTTTAAAAGATTATAGAAGACTATCCCGTTACTCAAAATTCACAGAAAAGCAGCTTTGCAGTTAGTTTCAATGGCCCCATGTCTGGCGTACTTCGACCACTTCGGTGGCTTGAACGGCTGAGGCATCCTGACGGTGTCAGCCTCGCCGCAGCTTCGCTCATGCCGAGACAGACTACGTCACAATTGCGGCGGATGCGACGAGCTCTCCGCTGGCTGCTCTCCGAGCGCTTGCCAGAGTTTTTATAACGAGAAATGCAGCCATCAGGCTCGGAATACAAACCCTCGATTGTCATTTACGAATGTTGTGGATCATATTCAGCCTATTTCTGAGCACGACGGGTATATTCCTTTAAAAATAAAGGTCGCTGCCGAAGGACGCTTGTTTGGGGTGACTCAGAATTACACCCGAAGCTGAAATAACGTCGCCATGATTCCTGGAGTGCAGGCCGGGGCAGCCGAGGCGCTTGGGGGTTTTAGCAAAAGGTCTATTCCGCCCGAGTATACATGCTTTCTCGAACATACCTTCGAGCACCGAAGCCAAATCCGGTTGACTCCATTGTTCCACGGTGACATAGACCAAGACCATTGTCAATTGACATCCCCTTCAGTTTAGACGTATGCTCAACGTTTTATGTCGTTAAATTGGACGTTATGTCAACGTTGACATAACGTTATCATAGATGTGCGCTCGATGTTTTATGTCGTCAAATGGGACGTTATGTTACCGTTAACAGGACGTTATCAATTGACATCCCGTTCAGTTTAGACGTATACTCGACGTTTTATGGTCGTTAAATGGGACATTATTTCAACGTTGATATCACGTTGTCACTTAACTTCCCATACAATTCAGACATGCACTCGACGTTTTAAAGTCATTAAGTGGGACGTTATGTCGACGTAAAATTCATTCTATTTTCGAGACATTAGCCTTTCCATATTACGTCGAAAGGACCTGGCGTTCAGACTTTTGGCGTTCTTTCGACATGTGATTCCTGACTTCATCGACGTTCTTTCGACATCTTTTGAACATGTCTGGGCTCCTGGGTAAGGGCTAGTGTTAAATAAACTTGTCTTATTGACAGATACACGAGCAAACGCACCCGAAAATTCTAACGTTTTTTCTCAATCCGAGAAAACACCTTTTATTTCCGGGCTTGACTGACAAGGCTTGGCTTCGGGGACCGCGGAGGAACCAATCAAAGTAGGGCTTCTGGCCGGCTTCATTTTCAGCGTTCAAGCGTACGGCGAGTGATTTGCTCGCTTTCCGGATCGAAGAACATGCGCGTGCTGGGGTGATGATATCTCACGTTGGGCTGAAGACTTGTAAATATTGAAATGGTGTATAGGGAGCATTTACTGTACGCTATATTTGTGGGTGATGTTTAGAGTGCATCCTCAAGCGCCGTTCACACTCTTGCGACCGAGTAAGACCGAGAGAGACCAGACCGGTTTTTAAGCCTCTTGCGACTTCTTAGGACCGGATACGCTGCAGTGGAGCTGGTCCTAAGAGATCGCAAAAGGCTTAAAAACCGGTCTGGTCTATCGAGAACCGAAAGCGAGTCACCGGCACAACTGTGCTTCGTATGAAGCATGGCATCCAATTCAAGGAATCCTCTTGGCACGCGACATATGCAGCAGGGATGCACTGGTTTCTCGCTGCCGCAACGCAGTCAAACGCAGTCAAACGCAGTCAAACGCAGTCAAACGCAGTCAAACGCAGTCAAACGCAGTCAAACGCAACTGTCTGAGCCAGGCTTTACACGGTCGCAAGAGTGTGAACGGGCCGGCAGAACGGGCTGACGTTAATAGGTTGTTGAGGTCGGCAGTCTTTACGGTATGGAATGCATGTTTAAAAGGACTGTGCAAGCCATGGCCATTTAGTACGCACCCAGCAATCGCGCACACAGGTATGGCCGCCAGTCAATACTCCCAATTGGGGAGGAGATCAAACAGTTACGCCTCTAGCGGTACGCTTCAGCTGCGTGGGCAACAGGCTGAATTCTCTTTGTTGTTGATCAGCGAAATTGAAGATGACTTTTCAAAGGTAGCTCCTTGTGCGACCGTACCACTGGTCAGAGCGAAGCGCTCGTGCACAGACCGTGATAGGCGAGGTTCAGTTTAGTTGTCATTCTGTGTTAGCAGGTGTTAGTAAACGCCGGGCTGTGGGGACAATAAGAAACCTTGATAAAGCGCCCCCTATAATTTGATCTCCTGCCCAATACTCTGCTCAGACTTAAGCTGAGGCTTCAGCCAATGCCGTAATCACGAGAGCATGGGATCTC